AACCTCCTGTTATTTATCATATATAATTTTACCATTTCTTTCCAGAAAAGACAGCTGTCAGCCCAAAGCCTGGCCTTCAACCTCAAGGACAAAGTGTTCTGTGAGCTGTTTCCCGATGTAGTCGATGTACGTATGAGCTCATTTCAAATTTCTCCATCTTTTTTCTTTGTTTTTCGTGCTGCTAATTCTCTAATTTCTCTCCTTCCATGCATCAGGAGATGAAGCAGAAGCAGAAGGCGCAGGAGGAGTTAAGCGCCCGCACTCAGCCCCTCCCCTTACCCGACGTGGTTCCCGACGGCGACCCTCAGCACGCCCACTACGGCCTCCCCGCCCTCAACGGAGGTCCCGTTCCCCTCGGGGGCGCCATCCCCGCCCCTGGCCTGCAGCAGGCCAATCGCAACCATGGACTTCTAGGTGGAGCTCTGGCCAACCTGTTTGTGATCGTAGGCTTCGCGGCGTTCGCCTACACGGTCAAGTACGTGCTGCGGAGCATAGCCCAGGAGTGAGAGGAGCCTGTGTGGGGGGGGGTGGCGCTCCCCCCCCACCCCTGCAGGCGAGCCAGCAAGTGGACTGCACATTCGACAAACACACCGCAAGGGGGAGGGATGTTCAGTCCTGGGGTAAACCCCTCCATGACCACCAACACCACCACCACCACCACCACCATGGACTTTGGAAAATGGGAACTCAAAGCCGACCCACCCAGGAAGGATTGAGAGCAGGGGGAGGAGGTGGGGGGGGGAGGGCGTGTTAGTATGGCCCGGGGGACTGGAGGGGCTTATTTAAACGGTTGTGATCCGATCTGTGCTTCAGTGGTTTGTGTCACGATCAACTTGGCTCATGGGTTGTGGATGAGTGTAGAGGTGAAGTCACATGCTAGGCGCACCACTTGTTCTGTAACTTTACAGATACAGATTGTTTCTTAATTAACTTCGCCACTTTAATCTGATAACCACCCATCAGCTCATAGACTCCTCAGGTCATGACTTGAATCTGTTCCAGAGACAAATGTTTTCAGTCGTGAGAAGAAAGGAGTTCCACAAAGAGCAGTTATGAGGTTGTATCAATTATCCCAAATAAACTGCAACCAGTTTATTTAACATGGCATGTGGCTTTGTAGTCTGTTTTATTATTCAACACCTTTCCATTTGACAGGTTTCAGTTTTGTGCGGTTGCACCGTAAGAACCGGTTTCTCTACCTCCAGCTACATATCTGGTTTAACATGAAAATCATACAGAGGTTTTTTTCTTCAATACGAATGAGCTGAACTCCAGATTAAATAGAAATCCAATCATCCATAAAATGGAAACAGTATTGACAAGTGTCTTTATATCTCCATTTCTGTCTTCTTTAAATACATAAAAAGCATCAAAGTTGGCGTCTCAGTCCGTGAGAGAGCTACTGATCCATGTTCAGAGTCTGATTCAGTTTTCTCCTGTCAACCTATGAGCCAAGCAGTGACCCCAGAGCCTGCACAGAATAAATAGACAAGAACCTTTTTTTTTTTTTTTAAATTGGCTTAGCTGACCAGTATAGCGCCATTCTATATAGGTCCAATTAAAGAGACACATGGAGAGAACCACCCTTTTGTTTCTGAGTATTATTTTCTTTTTGATAATTTTTTCTTCGTGTTTTTCTTCTCTTATTTATAGATATGGCCTTGGCTTGTCTGTCATGGCGCCAAGGAAATGTTCAGTGTGTTTGCTAGGTGCGGGCTAACACACACACACACACACACACAGGCAGGCCATGGCCTAGGCTCACATAATTGCTGATCATTTCCTGTTGTGCATTGCATTTAGTAAAGATGGTTCTACTGTATATCGGATGATCCGACAGAACAATGATCTGGAAGTGGAAGATTTGCCTTTCTATTGCTCTTTTCTCTTGGCGCCATCTTAAAAAAAGACAACCTGATGAAGTTGATGATGGTGATGATGATGATGGGAGTGTTTGTGTGATTATAAAGCAAATGCCCAAATTTCCATGCTTCAGTTAATCTTGTGTGACATTGTATGTTTTCATAGTAAATGCAAATAAATTACCCTGCTTGGCGGGGCATTTTAGAAAACCTTCCTTTTGATCCGTTTCTGTGAAAAATCATCAGTGATTAAGAGAGTATTTAACTGGAGTCAAAGTAGCAGTACTACAGTGTTGACATACAAGTAGAAGTTCTGCATTTAAAATGTTACTCAAGTAAAAGTACAAAATGACAGGGTTTATATAGCACCTTTCAACACAAGAATAAAACAATACAAAAAAGTGCAAGAAGAAACAGAGTAGAACTAAAATAGTGCAAGATCAATGTGCAAGTAATGCAGGAGAAATTAACTATGGACATATTACAATTAAATACAGTAAGCTAAATAGTGAAGAGTGTGTTGTAAGTGATCATGTAAATGCAAAAATGTTTATCGATTCAGTTGCACCTTGTAAAGGTGCGGTTTGGTTGTTTTTATTTTGTACTGCTCAGTAGTTTAAGCTATATTATAAAACGGACAAGTCAAATCAAGCAATCTGATTGGTTCTTAGCCGTGATATACTGAGCGTATACCACGGGTAGAATTGTAAGTTACTTTTCACAACAAGTCAGTATCCCTCCGCGTCTGAGAAAAACAGGAGGGATACTGACTTGTTGTGAAAAGTAACTTACAATTCTACCCGTGGTATACGCTCAGTATATCACGGCTAAGAACCAATCANCCACACTTATGAGTGTGCAAAGCTGTCATCAAGGCAAAAGGGGGCTACTTTGAAGAAACTAAAATAAAAATGATATTTTGGATTATCTGGACTCGATAATTCCATATGTGTTCTTTTATAGTTTTGATGTCTTCAGTATACATCTAAAAAGTAGAACAAAATAAAAATAAACAAAAACCATTGAATGAGAAGGTTTCCACACTTTTGACTGGTACTGTACAAGTTTTGAGGTACTTGTAATTGGAGTATTTTCAATTGATCCTAATACTTTTTACTCCACTACCTTTTTGTAATAGATTATGTTCCTTGCTATTTTGCATTTTTAGATTATTTATACAAAATATGAACTCATAAATTATATATTTAAGCAATAGCTCACGACAGGCCGTGGTATATGCTCATTATATCACAGCTAAGGGGCGTGGTTCGGCCCGACGCGAAGCGGAGGGTCGNCTCGTCCCTGCCTCACTTGTCATCGCTACCCGTAGTTGTAGCGGAGCTCGGCAAATTTGCTGATTTTGACTTTAAAAAGCGATTGGAATCATACATTAATCACACTTACATCACAGATCAGTGGAGACATTTTATTATTATTACTATTTAGTTTTTCTTTAGTTGTTTTTCCGTTACATTGGAGTATGACAGGTGAGGCTCTGCCTCCCCTGACTGCACGTCGCTGCATCCTGAAGTACTGCTGAAACAGTACATCATCCAGGCGGAGCTCTTGGACAAGAACGTGGTATTCCCCCCGTTGCAGATGTTTTCTGAGTATCGGATGTACCCAACGGCGACGCACAATACGTGGCCTCCTGCGAGACGTTGCATGTACCAACGCTACTCTTGCTACCCTTGCTACAAAACCGGCATCCATTTTGGCAATAGTGGAGAAGAAGCGGGCTTTTTTTTTGCTTTGTATGCCGGGGGCGGGCGGGAGATTCCTGGGAGATTCCTGATTGGTTGTTGATCGCCTTGGGCGCGTGAAATCGCCAAACTTCAGACACGCCCAGCATCAAGATTTTTCAAGATTTTTTTCATGCCTGTGTGTGGACGGGCCGTTAGCCTGTTCCACAATTCTTCATTTTCCGAGGCTAGGAAGGATTCTTGCCTCGCCTCTGAAGCAAGTGACTTGGAAGACATGTGCTACCAAGCAAGCGTCCTCGACATTGAGAAACACCCAGTATCTGGTGGATTGGGAAGGCTAAAGTCCTGAGAAGAGGTCTTGTGTATCATCAAGGAACATTGTCGTACCAGACCTTATCCTGGAATTCCACAGCCGTCATCAAAGACCAGTGCCTTTTTTTGGATTAAAGACTTGACTAAACCCTTTTAATCTGGTTGTGCTTTTGAATCCTATGTTCTTGCTGTTGTCAGTGATATAGCATGATATTCAAAACTTTGAGGTGCCATACAGTCTGAGGTGTGGTAGCAAAGTGTGGTGGTCTCAGCTTGTTCTATTTACTTATCATTCAACAATTTCCATTTTATAACCCATCATGTTAATGCTATTTAAAAATGATGGGTTACAATCATAGGTTAAAATTGATTATGACAGACAACAAGAAAGTCACAACAGACTGTTGGTAAAACCTATTTTAGGAATTTGAGATCATTCAAAGACAGTGTGATGAAGGGCTGAAGGGCAGTTAATGCTGTTTCCCTTGCACAATAGGGAAATACATAACAAAATAATAAACAGAAAAAAAACATTGGCACCAGCTTTGTTGTTGAATTTTTATTCGAAACATCGGTATCAGCACATGTACACATAGATTCACCTACACATACAGTTTATCTACATTCACTCATATAGGCCTTGTGTGTACTTGGATACATACTATACATGTCAAACTGTATATGTCAGTGTGAGAATCATAGGGATAAAAAAGCAAAAAAAACATCTGCTCCCCAGGTTAATTAGCCACAACTAAATATTATGTCAACAGTTAATACAAAGAGCAACATACTGTAACGTAAAAATATAATTAATGTCCTGTTTTTTATGGGGCAAATAATGTACCTTAAGTTTGTAGTGACAGTTTTCAGACAATTATATAATAGATACCTGATATTTTGCTCTGCTGCAAATGTATTATGAGAAAAACATAATTTGGCAGACAAGGCCTCCCTTGTTTGAAGAGTTGTCTCATGTTACCATGTTACCAGACTGTGTCATATATATATATATATATATATCTCTGTTTCTCTCTCTCTCTCTCTCTCTCTGTTTCTCTCTCTCTCTCTCTCTCTCTGTTTCTCTGTCTCTCTCTTTCTCTCTATCACACGAAGGCAGCCTAAATAGAGCAGGACAGCATGTTTCAGGCCAGCTGACAGACCCGAGGCCTGGCACTGCTCAGTGACATGGAGAGACTTGAGCGTGCTCTCTTCCGCCTAGAACAAGGTAGGACTACTTTGCACTTTAAGCACAGCATGTAAACTGCTGTGCAAACTGCACAGTGCTGCACAGCATATTTGCACTATTGTCACATAGAAAGACAATACAACTGTACTACAGTCACCCAGAGCAATATAATACAATACGCATAATGTCATACATGTTTAACCTTGAATAGTGTGGTCCTGCAGCCTTGTCAGTAACCTGGTCACTTTTTCCAGTCAATAATGAATTAAGGCATTGAGAATACAAAGCCAAATAAATAAAAAATATGCCTTGAGTTGGTAAGACATTTTTTAATGAGAGCAAGGCTTTTTTTTCAGGTTGAACATGCAGTTAATTAGGCTATGATTATTCACATACCACTGGTAATGCCACCTCGATATGGGATTCATTGGTGCATATTTACATACATTACACACGGGAAGTTTTTGTTATTTTTATACATGTCATAATAGCAACAAAATTAATTTTTAAAATATGTTTACATTTTAAAGGGTACTCCAAGGCATTTTGCACAAAGCAGTACCGGTATAAAAACACTCAAATGAAAAAGGAAGAAGGCGTTCCGACAATTGGATCACAGATTAAAAGTGGATTTAAATAAAGTGGGTTTTGAGTGTGGTTTTAAAGGAGGTGGCTAGGTCATGGAGAAATGTTTGGGTGATATAAGAATTTTGGACTAGGTATTTGGGGAACCTGGGGAGGCTTTGAAGAACTAGGCTGATGCGTAAACAGTTGAGCAGACACATGACAAATCAAATAATTCTGGTTTTGCAGAGGAAACACAGCATTCTCCTGGCTTAAATTCCTGTGTTTTTGCAGGTTATGTATAGTGGAATAGCCTTAAATCCTTGTCTTAGCTCCCCATACCTAGGTTTTGGTCTAGCAGCTGTAGCTCACTGGCTGGGTGACTTGGCATTCTAACCATTACTGTATCCAATTACCATGCTTCTTCTCCAAAGTTGCTGAGTAGGTCTTATGCCATTATGTTCTCCATTATAAAAAGACAAAGGAAGAAAACAATAAAAACAAAAAGATGGCGAAGTTCCAAGTGTTTTCTAAATGTAGGCATAAAACCAAGATACACTCAGCAACATTAGTGTAATTCCTAAACCGAAAGGGGAAATCCTTGCAAGGATTTGGGGCGGATGATGTGTGTTTGAGTTTTGTCGCTTTTACATTTTAGATTTGCATTGCAACTTTGCAAGTTGTGAGGATTGAATAAAAAATTACTATGGTTTAAATGTTCCGTTGGGTGTTGTTGACACCAGTGAAAATAAAGGGTCTTGCAGTGTGCACTGACAACCCAGTCTCACAGCATTTTCTGTTATAGTCATGAAATGTAATCTAATGAAAACACGATTTCCCCTTATTTTTCGTGTCACATAGAACAATTTTAAAAACAATGTATTTCTATTTGTGGTATCTTTCTTGCCTGCACCACATCTTTTTGTCAGGGCAAGAGTCTGGTCTTGGGAGCTGTGTGGTTTATCAACTTTTGTGTTAGTCAATATCAAATGTGAAAAAACAGAATACTGTATTGTTAAAATACAGTATTTATCCACATTCATGATACAAAAAAAGTCTTCATATTAATAATAATAATAATAAGAAAAATCTTTAAGACGAGGGAACCCCCCCACATTGACAGTTTACACACACAAATTCCTACTCCTAATATTCATACTTTATAGATTGGATATAATAAAAGAGTAAAACAAAGAAAGTTGATCCAAATATTAGCTGCATGATTTGTAATCCCCACATTTACTCCCAGCTCTATGGTGAGGATTTGTAAAGTCAATCAAGACATCATATTCAGATTTTTTCAATATGAACATGGATTAGTAACACAATATCTATATCTTGTGTATTTATGTTTTTGTTTCATGATGATACTCAAATATAAGAGAGACCTTCTACCACTTACTTGAAGAGCCACATATAGGGAGCTATAAACCCTGTCATAAATCAATATAAAGGCTCACACTCATCTAGTCAAAACACTAACAGGTGTCATCCATCATCAACGTATGTTTGTATGTACAGAGATACGCAGAGGGTCGAATGGTGGTGAGAGCTATGGACAGTACTCTGAACTCAACTGTCTAAAATGCTGAGATATCATACTGGATTAGAGAAACTCAGCTTTATAGGCCGACACAACATATGGCTATAAGAGTTTCTATTTGGTTTCATAACCATTGGCTTTAACCATGACGGTCTACAAAAATACATCATCACTACTCCATTCTATTGCATTGTTTTTCCAGTTAACACAACTTAAAATAAAATGTGATTGTGCTTCAAGTCAAGAACTAGTCATTCAAGTGTTGCAAACGACTCGTGCGACAAAACAATGGATGTAAAACTCATTTTTAATGATGACTTATACGTTCACACCGTACAGTCTACAGTGAAAGTCCTGTTTGTTTAACCCAGGAGTGGGGAACCTCCGAGACCATTTGGTACGGCCCTCGAGGTCATTTATAAACATGCGCAAAAAAGAAAAACATTTAAGAAAGCTAGACCGCAAAAAAAAAAACACCAGCCTAACGTGTCATCACGTGGTATATGTCTCGTCTGACAGGGGTGCAGTTCTGAAGGAGAGCACCAGAATGCCGCTCCGGCGCTTCCAAAAATTGCAGTACCCATAAGGAGCCATACACATGCCGCAGTTTTTGCGTGGCTGTGTCTTAGTTGAAAGCCCAGTGGCGATCTGTTCATCTGACATACTGATCATACAGTCAATAACTTTGTTGTCATTAGCATCTGGTTAGGTTAGCTAGCTATGCTAACGAATATAAGAAGCTTTTTCTACATCCAGTGAGGTAAAGGCACATCTTTATATGATCACTATATTTATAAAAAATATGAGAATAAAGTAAACAGGTATAAATAGGGTTGGGTACCGCGAACGGGTTCCGGTTCGGAACCGGTTCCAACATTTCGATTCCAACGGCATTATTTAGACATGTGAATTTCGGTTCCGCTTTTCGATGCCTGAGGAAATGTTTCTCGCTACTCTCCGTAGCCTACTGTATGACTGCGGCTGGGCGGGAAATGTAGCGTTGTGCCTACACTTCCTACAGCGTAACCTGAGACCAGGGGCCCGCCCAGCCGCAGTCATACAGTAGGCTACGGAGAGTAGCGAGAAACATNCATTCATCTGCAGTGGGCATGCTTTCACAGCATTGACATGTACACCTGAATATTGTACATAACATAAAAAAAAAACAATATCTGCCGGACGTATGAGGAACAGATGACAAATTAAGATCGACATTTAGTGCAGGTCAAATTAAATAAAACAGAATTTACCATTCAGTATTGCCGACTCGAGTCTCGCCGGCTGCGGAATCCGCTTCTCTTTCACAAGTTTCTGCCTCGTTGTTCGATTGCCGGGCAGGAGGCTCGTACTGATAAGGCAAGATGCCTTGAAGTGAAAGGCTAGCTGGTTCACTCTCTACTTCTGTAACTGAATCCAGATAACCCACCGAATCTGAGCTTGAATGATCGCTGTCGCTGTCTGAAGTTGTCGCGTTGCTTGCCATTTGGACTGATTTTATCAAATGGCAATATTTGCCACGTGTGACGTCACCGCTCGTTCGGGAGTGATCGGGGGTGTACTCGGCAAACTTCGGAACCAACATCGGTTTTTAACGTATATGTCATTTAATTATGACCAAACTTTAAACATTTTTTTTTTAAATTATTCTGGTGATATCTAAACTACATGTTAAAAAACACCTGTGTTAGATGCATTACATGGCCTTTAACACAACATATTCGAGGTGGTTTTAAATAACATTATCCGTATTTATTTATTTCTCCAAGTTATGTTTTTGTGTGCACTGAGGAGTCACAAACAGGCGTTTGTTAAATCATTTTAAGATTGGCTTTAATCAATTTGTGAAAATGAATTCTTCATATATGATAAATGAGAGGTAACATTTTATTTGGTATTATTTCCACATATTTCTCTCCATTCTTCCTTCTGCCAACGGTGTCGCAGTTTCTCGTCTCTTCCGTTTTTGTGCTTAGTGCGTACGCATGGGTTAGAGTTTGCGTGGAGGACCGCACGTTTTTCCGTCAAGTTAGTATTTCATAAATCGCAAACATTGCGTAGAAACTGGCGTACGCCATTTTTGAGCGTATATCCCTTTATAAATGAGGCCCCTGGTCACAAGCTTCTCAATGCACAGCTAAACACTGCACTCAAATATGTTCCTCAAATGTTTTGAGGCGAGTATTGAGCAATGGAGTAAAATAATCTTGATTCATGTTTGATTAGGGAGGCCTGCTCTGACAGTTTGATCGGGCTTCAG